CTGGCCCCTCCTCTCCACCCCCTCTGATATTTGCCGGAGACCCAAGTGTGTAAGACACCCTCCCAGGTGGAGTCTCAGCCCACAGAGGAGAGGGAGAGGGAGAGGGAAGACGTCGATCGAACAGTGTGGAAGGGACCAAGGACACAAAGGAGCAGCCAGAGAGAGAGAACCGAGAAGAACTAGCTGCATGCTGAGCAGGGCCTGGTGTCTGGGTGTCTGGCTGAGTACACAAGGCCTGCACCCCAAGAGATCTGTGGTTCCAGGTTGTATCTTGGGGAGACCATCTGTGAATCCTGAAGTCCTTGCCCAACATCTCGGAGGCCTATGCGTGGCCTTGGTATGAGAGAGGAACTCTACCCTGAGAAGATGTGTGTGCACCCCAGGAGCGCCATGATCCGGGGACCTCTAACTTGCTGCTCAGCCTGACCCTGAGCCAAGATAATCTGCCTGAGACCCACACACAGCCGGGTATCCCCGGAGTAGAGTTCAGGTATCACAGCACCATCCCTGTCATCGGGCCCTCTCATCTGGTCAGACGACAGAGCCTTCCAGATCCTGGGCCGTGCTCCGAGGTCTCTGAGACCCTGACCCTTCCCGACTCCAGCCATACCACCGCCCAGTGCCACCCAGGGCAAGTCAGGGAGACCCAGCTAGCTTCTTCTAGAAGCCAGCCTCAGAAGAAGAGCGCTCGCTCACTCGCTGGCTCTCCCCTTCCTTTCCTCCCTCCATCCCTCCTTCCTCCCTGATCCCTTCCCCCCTTCCCACCTGCCCTTCCAGCCCCCGCCCCGCCGCAGCCTGAGCAGGTGGGCCCCAGGCCCGCTCACCGGACTGCCCCGCTCCTGTCTGCTGGCAGCCGTGCAACTCCATCGCGCTGACACGTTTCTCCTCAGCGCTTGGCCATGTCAGCACCGGGCTATAACGAGCGTCAGGATGGGGATTTATGAGCTCATCCAGGCTCCATGTCCACCCCGCACTGGCGAGTTTTCCAGAACGCCTTCCCTTCTCCCGTCACAAGAATGGACTTTCTGTTCAGCTACTTGTGAATGCCGTAAATCCTAACCGTTGTCGTGTGTATGTGTGTGTGTGTGTGTGTGTGTGCATGTGTAGCCATTTTGCATGTGCCTGTGTGTCTATGCTAGTGTGGGTACATGTGCCCCTGTGTGTGTGTGTGTGTGTGTGTGTGTGTGTGTGTGTGTGTGCATGCATACACACGTGCACCTAATCATAAAAAAGTGACCCACAAGACTCTGCAGCCAGGCCAGTCGCTCGGAATCAATTGTGGATCCTTAAAGAAGGGGACGGGCAAGAAGGCTCCGCCTCACTGGAGAGAGCTGTGGGTGTCAGCCAGAGCCGTGTGCAGACGTGTGGGGTGTGGGGAGCCACGCTGCTGTTGTAGGATGTGGGCCCAGAGGGCCACTCCCAGGCCCTGCTCCCTCCCGCCTGCTCAGAGCCCATTAGGGGAGCTGATGACAGATGCAGGGCCATTCCTGCCTGCGTGCTCACCCTGGACGGGGTCGGCACTGCCCATGCCCGCGAAACATGAAAGAACCAGCCCAGCGGAGAGCCATGATGTAGAAGTGCCGGAAACCTCAAATGATGTGCAACAAAAATTGTCAAGGTTCAGACAGTCTCTCCATCCCTTTGCGTCGAAGCTCAGCCTCTGCCAGGGTTGATTTATGAGTTGGGAACACTGGCAGGGGACATGGGGGGTCTGAAAGGCCAAGTTGGGGGTAAGCAGATTCATCAGAGGGTCTGGGCTTCCCGAGGCCTGGCCCCAACAGAAGCAGGCTTTGGGGTGGAGACCAGGCCGGGAGCTGAACTGTGGGTCTAGATGGAGGTGCAGGCCCAAAGCCACCACGCCCTCTGAGCCACGTGCCTGACAAAACAGGCCAAGAGGACGTCACAGGCTGGGCCGCCTCCTTCGCTGGGCCCACTCTCCTCCCCATGCGTGTCTCTGGTCTCCCAACTAACCGTCAGCCTCCTGTGTGGCTCCCAGATGAAGCTCACAGCTGTGTGGCTTCATGTCAAAGCTCAAGCCCATGCAGTGGCCGCCTCCCAGATGTGGCTGGATGTGGCGTTCATCACATCAGAAAGGGGGCTGACACCCTGCCCTGGCCTCCGTCAGGTCCCCGGCCCTGGCTGTCTGAGCCTGTGCCCTGCTGCACAGGGCACACCCTGGCTCGGCCATCCCCAGTTCTTCTTTCTAGAAGCACCCAGAGCCCAGCGGGTTCCTGTCACAGGACACGTGTGGACCCCAGAAGGCTCCTCCTCACTGCCCAGGAGCTAGAGCTCAAGTGCTCATGGGCGTTGGTGTCCTGGCCAGCAGGAAGTGACGCCACTCTGTGACAGACTCAGGGTCAGGGGCTGGGAAGAGGCTGCGGGCCGGGGGAAGGGCAGGTGCACCACTGCGACCTGGCACCCCTGGGAAGGTGGCCTAGCCCTTGCCAGGTTCCTGGGCTCAGAGAGGGACAGCATGTGCCCACTGTGTCAACACAGCTGGTAGTCCCATGTTGAGGGGAAGTCAGGATCGTGAGTGGGAGGGCTTGGCGTTCTGTGCAGGGCCAGGCCTGTTAGTACTCTGTGTCCTCTTCTCTCTCCACCCACTGCACACACACAGCCTCTGACATACATGCAGGTGCTTTGTGGGCCTGTCCATAGCCAGCATAGAGCGGTCAGGCCTGCGGACTGACCCTGGGCAAAGCAGAAGATGGGGACGAGGGGCTGGAGGGGCTCAGTCATTTGACCCAAGTCACAGAGAAGCAGCTGCCCAGCCCAGAAATGGCTGCATGATCTCCGTTCCCTGCCACTTCCTCAGTAAGAGGAGCTGCTGAGAACCTGCTGGCTGCCCCCAGAAGAAGCTGCAGAGGCCCTGGGAGCAAGCCAGCAGCGTGTGGCAGGCACACAGGGGCGCCCCTCTGCCTTGGAAGGTCTTCCTATATCCAAGTCCCTCCTGCCCACCCCTTTCTGCCCAGGCTTTGTCAGTAATTCAGTCAGTCGCCCATGGCTAGTGTCAGCAGGGAAGAGACCGAAGACCCTCAGCTACCTGTGTGGTGTAGGTGCCTGGCCTTCTGCCCAAGGCTCGGGAAGAGACAGGGATGCAGAGGCAGGGCATTCAGGCCAGGTGCTTCCTCACTGCTTTGAACTGACTGACCCCAGTGGGTCTGTTACCCGGGAAAACCCAAGCAGAAGGGCAGAGGGCCTTGTGGCCAAGTGGGGCCTGCCCGCACGGGGCTGCAGGCTCAGCAGCCATGGTGCGCTCCTCAGCAGCCTCCCGGGGCTGACAGGCAGGGACAGAGCGAGTTCTCCTTGTTTGCCCCATGCCGTCTGGCACCACACTTAAGTCTACGAAAGGTCAAGGGTTGTCAGCACAGAGGGCCCGCAGTCCCGCTCCAGGTCAGCCTGCAGGCATCTTCGCAAAGCTGGGCCTGAACATCCAGAAGCTTGTGGCTGAGGAGGAGCTGCCACCGTGGAGCCCACAGGCTCCAGCTGGGTGGAGACAAAGCCGGGCTCAGCAGCGGCTCCTGGGCCTGCTGAGGGCCACTGCCCTTGAGTCCCAAGCCAGGAGAGCCCTGGCCACTCAGGGATGGTCTGAGGTTCCTTGACTTCTTCCCAGAGCACCTGACTCCCAGACCTGGAGGTGGGAGACAGTGCCTCCCCCGGGTCCTGCTGTTCACAGCAGAGCACTCCGAAGGACCCCAGGGGACAGGAGGGACAGGAGGCCCACAGTGCCTAGAGCCGTCTCCCACTCTGTGAGGCGCTGCCTGCCTCCTTGCCCAGCCTTCACCAGGTCCTTTGGACTCATTCTCCAGTCACCCCTGCCCACCTGGAAATACCTGTTTACATAGAGGCATACCTGTTCACCTGCCACCGCTGCATGTTTGACACAGGTGGTCATACCTGGATGCACCCACCCACAGGACACACCTGTGCACCTAGACACACACCTGTGCACCAGACGCATCTGCCCTAGGATGCACCTGCCTGTCTAATCTGCACACCGGGTTACACCTGGGGACCTATATACAGGAAAATGTCCGGCTACACGTGCACGCTGTTCCCGGGACACACCTGCACGGCAGGACTCACACGCTCTACGTTCTAGGACTCAGTGTGGTAGCGGCCTCAGATCCTGCCCACCAACCTCCCTCCCAATCTACAAGAAAACCTAGCCTGCCAGACCACAGGATATGGTAGCAGGTGGCGGCCAGCCTCCTGACTGCCTGCTTGGTGCTGTTGTGTGCCACCTTCAGATTCTGAAGCAAGGCCTGTGAGGCCAGCAGCTTCTGCAGAAACTCTCTGTGGCAGGGTGAGATCAGAGAGCAAGCCTGAGCCATCCTGCCCTGCTGTCAAGTAGAGCTCAGCGCACAAGAGCAAGGCAAAGCCAAGCTGGGGGGGGGGGGGAGCCAGGGGAGGAAGGGAAGCGCAGGAAAGCTAGGCATGTGCAGGCCACAGGTGTCAAACAGAAACTTCCCGGCTTCAAGGACGCGAAATGGCTTGCTTTCTCGCAGGGTGATGTGCAAGCTGGTGTGAGCCTGCACCTGCAGGGGTGAGCGTGCACACCTTGACGCACATGCGTGCACAGGCTCTGATGCAGCTGCACACCCAGGAACACCTTTCATTTCAGAAGCACTCTCTTCTAGCCCAGCACAGGCTTGTGTCCTTGGCACAGGGCTTTGTTCTCAGCCCAGCAGCCTCTGCCTTTCTCACACTTGGGACCGTTTTTTGCTGGGGAGTTTTCCCACAAGGCTAAAGACTCGTGCTATTGCTGACCAGGATAATGATCTGCTAGGTGAGAGCAGAAAGGGCCATCCCCTACCTCTCTCCCAAAGGCGCCGGGGCACAGGTAGGCTGCGTGGTGAGGGCCTCACGCTCCGTGGGGTGCGGGGGTGAAGTCACATGTGACTTCTCACCTCACTCTGGGTCTTCGGGACCTGGGCAGCGTGCAGCTGTAGCATTTGGGTTGCCTCTCACCGTGGTTTGCTTTATTTCCCCTCTGACAGATGTCTGAAGACCTGGGCAGTGAGAAGTTCTGTGTGGACACTCACCAGGCAGGGACCGGCAGTTGGCTCAAGTACATCCGTGTGGCATGTTCCTGTAATGACCAGAACCTCACCATGTGTCAGGTCAACGAGCAGGTAGGTCTGGTTAGGCATTCTGTCCCCCAGGGCTGTCCTTGGGGATGCTGCATCAAGGTGGATGGGGGCACTGAGGAGAGAGACAGCCTGAGCCCTGGCCAGGGTCTTCTGTCCAGCCCTGTCGTGCTGCAGGGGTGGCTGTGTGGCTGTGATGAAAACCTGTCAGCACCTGGAGCTCTGTGGCTTGCAGCCAACACGGCTGGGCAGGTCCCCAGACCCACAGCTGACCGGAGAGCGGTGTGCGTTCTACCAACCCCAGGAGGCAAAGTGTACCCTGCTGCTTTGACTCTTTCTTTATCTTCAAGCATGTAGGGGTTGCTGAAGACTCTCTGTGCTGTGTGCTCAGAGCACTGGGTTCTTCTGGGGTGCTGGGGGCCCTAACCCCCAGCAGCAGAGTTTGTTCTTGCCTGTATCTTTGGGCCTGTGTGTGAAGTTTCATGGGGCAGGGGGCGGGGGGAGTCCCGGTGCTTTCAAACCATTCATGGAGCCCACGTTACAAAGGCCACATTCTCTCATAGTCCAGGCAAGCTATTAAAAGTGGTTCAGGCTCTTGACTAGAGAAATACTCTGCATTTAAAATTGCAATGAGTTAACCCGAGGGGAGGCCCTCTGGCCTCCGAGGGCTGCCGGTACTACCTTCTCAGGGGCTGAGTCTCCTCCCTTTGGGGCTCATCCTGGACCAGGCAGTGACACCTTTGGACACAGGACCCCGTCTGTCTCCAGGCAGGGCTGTGGATCTGCCTCTGCGGCCAGGACCTCAGTGGCTCTCAGAGTCCCAAAACTGGAAGAAAGAGAAACTTCCTGATTGTAAATAATAATAATAATGCAGAATCAAAGCAAGAGACGCACCCTAAACATTAAAACAGAACTCAAAAAAAAAACACCTTTTTCTGCCTCCAGATGAAAATGAAATTTGTATGAAGAATTAGATTTAGGCCATGCTGACTTCCAAAATTTTGCCCTGTGGAGCAGACCTGTGTTCAGGTCTACTGCGAGCCGGGGCCCTGGGCTGGGAAGTGGAAGGGCTTCGGCGAATGCAAGCGTGGAGAGCAGCGAAGGATGCACGTTTAATGGTTTAGAAAACAAATGTTCATCAGAACCGGCCCACACGGAAGCAGGAAAGCAGGCTCCTCTGTGCAGCAAGCCTTGTGGAAACCACGCAGATTAATAACCTTTTCAAAGAGAAGTTTGTCTTCAAAGATCTTTGTTTTACAAATGCACATTTCAGAGGCTTTGTTAGAGCTCCATGGGTGAGCCAAATGCAAGCGTCTGGGTCCAGCTCCATCGTCTGGACCAGGGTGGGAATGCTCTGTGCTCCTTGCTGTGTCCATCCAGTTCATTCCCAACTTGCCCCCCCACCCCCGGCCTGCTCTGAGCTCTGTGCTCACCTTGGGAGCTCCCTTGAGCTGGTGTCATGTTGGGTGCCTTCAGCCTCTGTGCACCTCTGCGCTTCCCTCTACCTTGGCCTTGTGGGATGAGTTCTTCCCAGTTCAGGCCCATGGGCAGAATAACACTTACACATTCAATAGGAAATTGAAGCTTTGCCACATGCCACCTTAAAGAGCCAAAGGCAGAAATTCCTCCTGTCCCCTCCCTCCCTTCCCCTGAGAGAAGACAGGCCCTTACCCGGACCCCAGCGCTGTGGGACACTTAAGATTCTGGCCAAGCCACATAGGATTCCCCCCAGCGCTGCTTGTCCTTGGGACACCAGTGTGCCCCCTGGTGGTGGTCAGCTGGGTGCCAGGGCCGTGGCTGCAGATCGCCATCAGGCATGGGTCAGAAACTGCTAGAAGCCATCAGGCCTTTCCTTCTGAACCCCAGATCTCGCCTTTGAATTTTGGTCATCTGAGGAAAACGAGCCATTGATGAGGATGTATTCAAAGTCTTTGGATAATAACGTTTAAACTCACTATATGAAAAACCAGTGTAGTCTCAGTAAATATTTCCTGGTTAAATGATGTGACTTTGAGGAAGAGATAGTAGATTTCAAACCAGTTGTTCAATAGATTCTCAAAAGCCAAATGCTGATTCTCTGGACAGCTGCAGCCCCCACTGAAAGCCCTGCTACCCAGGTCCTGACCAGTCATTCGCAGCAGCCCGCCTTGCCCTGCTCTGGGGCGGACATTAAACCTGGCCAGAAATAGTAATAACAAAAAAAAAAAAGGTTTTGAAGACAGGCTTCTCCTTGAAGAGGAAACATTACAGTATTAATGGAGTTCCTCAGATTTCCACCATCCCAAGGGGGTTTTACCAGAATGTCTGAGAAGTTATGAGCACCACACACATCCACACATACGCACACGCACATACCTGAGAGTGCAAAAGCCAACTGTAGCTGGGCACTGGTGGCTCACACCTGTCATCCTAGCTACTCAGGAGGCTGAGATCTGAGGATCAAGGTTCAAAGCCAGCCCGGGCAGGAAACTCCATGAGATACATACACACTCCTCCACACTGAAGGCAAGATATCCGTACCTGCACGTCTGCACTGCACAAAATCGTCAGTGTTGGGTCTGTGAGTGGTATTTACCACAGCGAATAAGTCAGAAAGGCATCAACTTCATTTCAAAGTTCCAGACACATGACCTCAGTCACTGTTGTCAGAGGAAAGAAAAAAGCAGCAGAGGGTCTCAGCATCTTAAGAGAAACTTCTGGAAGCCACAATCCCCAGAGGAGAGTGGTGGCTGAACTGAAGACTCAGGTCAGCAGGTGGACTAGAGACCTGGGCTCTGGTCCCCCTGGGAAGCTCCTGGTGATGGTCAGGACTTGGGTAAACTCAAAAGCCAGGCCTGCTGATGTCCTGGAAGAGACCTGAACATCAACGCCATGGGAGGGAGTCTTGTCTCTCTGACCTGGTGAGGGTTCTAGCTGCGTGGTGCTGTGATTCACACAGGCCCTGGAACTAACAGCGACTCTCCTCTGACACCCCCCCCCCGGCTCTGGGCAGCTCCCGACTAACCAGGATCCACACGTGCTCACCCAGATCTCACCTGGACTGGGCCTGCCTCCGCCCGGAAGAGCAGCTCACTGGGTCCCCTCTCCCCCTTCCCAGGCAGGGCTGGCCGGGGTCTGTGCCCCTGGGGCAGCTTGGGTTCCTCCACCTCCCTGGGCTTTTGTTACCCCAGAGGGACTACTCTCCATGATCCCCACCTAACGGGCCATGTCCCCTCCTAACCTCTGCGACCGAGTGTCTCCTGAGAAGCCACGTGACCTCATGAGAAGGGGCTCACCCACTCCCACAGGCCCCCCGGCCCTTTCCTTACAGCACACCGCGGCAGAGGCCGCCATGTCCCTTCGGCTTCCTCCTGGGCCTGAGCCTGGGCCCCAAAAGGTGTCTTGTGATGTCTACCTGGCCCACGGCCAAGGGCACATCACAGCCTTCTGGGGCCAATGGCTCTCCCACTCCCCGGAACAAAGGCTTCCAGGTGACCCACCTGGTAGAAGTCAGTGGGGGTTCAGCGCTTCCTCCAGGATTTAGGGGCTGATTGGGTTGCAGCCCGGTAGCTTTGCTGGATAGTCAGTGAGCAAGGCACCCGCGAGCTCTGGCTGATGTCGCCAGCCTGGCGCAATCTCGGTTCACCCAGCCCCAGGTCCTGTCTCACCCCAGCTCCATCGCCAGGCCCGTCTTTCTGTTTAGAAAATGCCAGACATGCAGGTCACACGTGGGTGGTTCTTTCTCCTGCGATTCCGAGCAAATGAATTGGTTTGAAATGTTAAGGAGACACAGACAGTGTCTGTTCCTGGATTTCCTTTAAGGGTAAGAAAGAAAGCAAGGACTTGGACATGAAGGGCAGGTGTGCAGGAGGAAGCCGTGGCCGAGGGAGCGGGCAGTCGCTTGGGCACGGCGGGCGGACGGATGGGCAGATGCTCTTTTTCTTTTTCTCACATCGTCTCCATACGGCAAGGATGTTGGTGGGGGGACTTCCACCAGCCAGCAGGCTGCGGATGGGAAAACAACAGAGGCCCCGCTTCCCAACACAACTCAGAGAAGCCAGAGGCCAGAGGGCCCCCCTCTGCTCTGTGATCACCTGACCGTAGGAGAGCAGCCTGGCCTGCCCTGGCTGGACAGCCCCCGGGGACACCTGGGAACAGAGGGCCCAGGTGCTGCCCTGGGCTCAGGATGCTGAGCACAGCGGCAGTTTCCCTACAGTCGGGCAGATGGGGCACCCCCTCCCCAAGAATTGCTAAATGAAGCCGTCTGAGCAGAAGACTGACAGTGGATGCACAGCCAATCCTTGCTCTTAATGAAAACCGGGTGTGGCTCGACCCCGGTGCAGCCTGGTGGCCGAGGGCTGCTCTCTTTTGCCTTCGTTTCTTTGGCCCCGACCTAGACCCCCCCCCCCTTTCCCTCGCCAGGGTGTGTGATCTGCTGGGGCTGGAATTTTAAACAGGGCGTCTTGTGCTGACCCCCTGACATTGCTTGACTCCTTTGCTCTTACGCTACACCATTTTTTTAAATTAAAAATCGTAAAATCTTAACTGAGTCGGTTCAAATAGTAGACATCAGTTTCCCTCGGAAGGCAAGCAGGCAAGCGGTAGCATTTCTTAGACAGTTTACAGAACACCTTTAAGTCTGTTTGGATTCAGAAATGCTGTCACATGCCACTGGACTATCTTTCTCTCTGAAGAGCCACAAGGTTGAAGGTCATCTGTGCTGTGTCCCAGTAACCCTTTGTCTACATGTATCTTCTCTTAATTAAATACAGTATTTTACTAGCCAAGGCAATTTCAAAATGTGGATGGTTTAACAATAAACGAAGAACTCCCATGTTCAAAATTCTGATCCACATTGTAAACTAAGAAAGGAGTATACGTAGGAATAACATTGTTTTTCTATTCAATGTGTGAGCTGAGAAGAAAGTGGCAGAATATATAATGGCAAAGCAATAAAGATTTAGGCACAAATAAAACTGCTTCGGCAGTGCCTGGGAAGAAGGGAACGTGGCATCTCACAGGGATGTCACTGAGTCCTTTCCTCTCTAGGAAGGGAAGGAAGGCATTGTCTGCATGTTCCTGCAGTCTGCCCAGTGCGCCCAGCCCTGCTCTAGCCCCTAGCTTCTGCACAGCTTTGAGAGAGTAGGCAACCAAAACAGGCCAGAGGAAAACCACCGGGAACAGGAGAAATCAAACTTCATGTCCACAGGGTGAGCAGCCGTGGAGGAGCAGCTCTTGGGTCACAGACCATCTTTGAAATTTGGTTTTTAACCACCAATTGCTCAACCCTCAGATGGCCCAAGGGTCTGGGTGACTGCAGCTCTTCCCCAGAGGAACGTGGCTCAGAGTTTGGGGAAAGCATGCAGCACACACAGTGAGATTGCCCAAATCCCCAGAGCCAAGGCTGGGACCTGACGAAGGTCTTCAGAGGTTCTGAGCGATGTGCACATGCGCGCACGCGCGCACACACACACAAACACACACACACACATATGCCCAGTGATGGCCTCGGGACCAAGATTCTCTCTCAGTGGACAAACCCGGTCACTGAGTGAATTTGTTCTTTAGTAGTGATTTTTAAGGCAATTTAATTTCCATTTGTAATGTACATGCCTTTCTGAGGGAACCACTCCAAGACCTTTACCAACTTAAGTCAAGGAATTTGGAAGTCTGAGATAGTGAGAAATTGGCGTGCCTTCCTTCCTTCCTTCCTTCCTTCCTTCCTTCCTTCCTTCCTTCCCTCCTTCCTTCCTTCCTTCTTTCCTTTCTTCCTTCCTTTCCTCCTTCCTTCCCTCCTTCCCTCCTTCCTTCCTTCCTTCGTCCTTCCCTCCTTTCTTCCTTTCTCTCATTATTTCTTTTACTTTCATTCTTCCTTCCTTCCTTTCTCTCATTCTTTCTTTCTTCCTTTCTTCCATTCATCCATTCATACTTTCATTCATTCTTTCTCTTCCTGCCTTTCTTCCTTTCTTTTCCTTCCTTTCTTGTGCCTCCTTTTCTCTCTTTCTCTCTCTCTCTTTTTCTTTCCAAGATATTCACATGGAAAGAAATTTTCACCCACTTTATTCCAACATTTCTTTAAAATTTCTTATACTGGCCAGAGAAGAAGGAAAATAGAATGGCTTGGGCTTTCACTTGCTTGATTCAAGCAGCCATTCATTTCAGGAAGGAGAGAGGAGATGCTGCCCATATTCAAGCCGCTGACCTAGAACCTGTTGTCAGCTTGTTTCTATCCTGTGCATTCTGGACCGAGGTTTTCGTTTATATAAATGCTAAAATTCCAGGATTAAGTAGGAATTAAAAAGAGTATCTCTTATACCCTCCTATCTGAACATAGTATCTTCAGTATGGTTTGGGGACTCTAGGGGAGAAAGAATCTAAAAGCTCACAGCCATTACAAAAATATTTCTTTGTCTTCCAGAACATTCCCAGGGGAAGTAAAGCTCATTTTCATAAAAGGCTCTGTCGCCATGAACTTCGCCTGCCCTAAATCCAGCTTTCCACAGGCAATTCTCTGTCTCTGGGTGAGAAGGCCGCCAGGGACTTCTACCAGAGCTCTGTGTACCTACAAGGAGCTGCCCCTTTGTGTCTGAAAAGTGATAAAAGAGGGAGAAAATAGCTTGGGTCATGCTAAGTACACTTATAATTCTGAGGACCTGTGTTCAGTGCCGTTCACCCAAGTTCAATAAAAACTGTTGTCGGCAGAAAGAAGCCAAGGGGAGGAAACAGAGGCTCAGTTCCTGGCCCTGTCTGCTAGCCATCATTATTTTTTAGAGCCGTTTAGAGCAGACATTTATTAGGCTCGTAATCTCAGCTGTTGGTAAGAGGGGCCGCACCCTCAACCCTTAAACGGGGAGAAGATGCCAGGCCTGCTGCCCCAGGACCCAAGGACTTAGCCTGTGGGGCCATGCAGGTCTAGAAAATGTAACAAGGACTTTCTGGTGACTTTCCTGTAGCCACTCCCTTGGGCCCTTGGGACCTGGGGGGGGGGGGGGGGGAGGGGTAATGAGTATCAGACTCCCGTGGGCCCTTTTTTTTTTCCCCCTCTTCGCATGCATGAAAAGTCCCAGCCACCACCTATCCATGTTGCTAACTTCCACGGACCTAGCAAGGGCCGCACAATAAACCCGCTGCAGGAATTTTTAAGGGGTTGCAATTATAATTTATGACGGGCCCCACACGGAAGGGGCCTGGCACGGGACCGTAAATGGTAATTTGTAACACCCACCCTAGGAGCACAGAGGCAGCCAGACCCCCAGATCCCTCTGACACCGGCCTTTGTCCCAGGTTTGTCCCAGGAAGCCACTGGCCCCCCAGGGCCCCAGACCCCCCCTTCGGAGCAGGTAGTTACGATCCCCGGAGCGTGCTGGTGCCACCTCCACGCTCTGCAAGGGCAGTACCCCAGACTCCCCCAAGGTCTTCCCCTCTCCCATTTCCCTCCGAACCTGCCCCCCCCAGGTGCAGGCAGGTCCGGGGCACCCCAAGCCACGCCCTGAGTCCAGCGATTAGTGCTAATAGTTATTAATTCCATCCCAGGCTCAAAGTCCTGTCACCCCTCGGCCCTGTGTCCCTCAGAGCCACAGTAGGGGTCCCAGCAGGCCCAGCAAGCTGAGGAGCAGAGGTTGGGGTGGGGTCCCCTGGATTCCTGCGGGCCTGGGATAGGGGCCGGGCTAGGTAGCTCCCAGGGTTAGGGGCCAGCCGGTGGGCTCCTGGAGGCGTGGGGTGAGGCTGGGACAGGGAAGCTGATTGGGGGTGGAGTCCCAGGGGTCTCGAAGGGAGCGCAGTGCAGCAGGCCACTGCCGAGCCCGTGCTTGGTGCCAGGCTGGGCAAGTGGGCAGCGATGGCCTGCGGAGGAAGGCGGTGGCAGTCTTCCCTGACGCTTAACCAGGGCAGCGAGGGGCTGCCTGGCTCAGAGCCTCGGCTCTCCTCACCCCTGCATCGACCTGGGCCACACCAAGCACTGAGACCCAGCCCTAAGCAGGCCCCTGCTGTGCGCGCGTGGGCTTGTGGGCTGGAAGAAAAATCGCTCCTGTTTACTAACACCGCCCTGTGGCCCCTGGGTCCCAGCGTGCCTCCATTCTTTGCTTCTTAAATTCTGCCCTGTGACACTCAGTTCTCCAAAACAGTGGCTCGGGTCTGGTTTGGTGGTGGCTGTTCTTTTCTCTTTTTTTCTTTTTTCTTTTTAGAAATTATTCAACCACTTTGATTTTTTTTCTTTAGATCAAGTGATACAAAACTGGGATTACAATGACAATTGATTTCCTTCGAGAAGTTGATTTGGTTTGCTTTCTGTTCTCCATTTTAAAATCTCATTGTTTTATCAACCTACCTGGGAAAGACTGCCAAATAAAATAACTACTAATGACCGCACCATGAAGTAACTTCACACACCGATAAGATATGTGTGCACCTGTGGGCTTTCTACCGTGTGCAGTTCCTGTGTCTGCTGTCCCGGAAACGACAGCCCCAGGCCCCGGGGACCAGCACCGTCTGTGTCCTTTGGGGCTCATGGTATCCTCCTGGAGGTAGCTGCCCGGGACTCCGGGGAGAGCCAGCTCGGCCTGGGAGGCCAGCTGTCTGCTGGGGCCTGGTTGTGCTTAGTCTCTGCAGGGCCAGCGACCCCAGTCGGGGACCTGTGAGTGAGACAGAAATGTCCCCACACTGGACATCCACCTCCCCTCCATGTCTGGAAACCCCTTCCTGCCCGTGTCTCCTCTGAGAGCATTCTTTCCTTTCCTGGTCCCCGGTCATCTTTGCTTCCTCTCCGCCATGGGAGCAGTGCAGTGGGCTAGCCTCAAGCAGGAGGAGACACCTCAGCCCTGGGCCTCCAGGTGCTGGGCCTCTCTCCAGGTTACAGCTCCTTATTGGCAGATTAGAGTTCCAAACACCCGTGTGCTGTAGGAAGACTGACGATGTGTGCTTTCCTGCGTTGGCTGTGCTTGTGGGGAGGCCTGTGGGGTTCTGGGAGCCAACACGGAGGAGGACCTGTGTTTCCAGGTGTCTCCAGTGTTTCTGCAAGACAGGGTCCAGTGAGGTCATAGGAGACCCAACTCCCCGGCGCCCGCCAAAGTCAGCCTGGGCCTGCAGTGCCTTGACCATCTGGCACCCCTTTCCTTCTCCACCTGGCTCCCCACTTCCACACCACCGTTCACGAATCACTGTGACGCTGGCAGGCTCAGCCTGATGTGATTCAGACCCGTGCCGCTGCTGCTCTGGCCATCCCAAGTGGAGTCCCCTGTGCTCCAAGGCTCCCTCCGGGCTGTGGAGCCCACCCTGCGCTTGCTGGAGGCCAAGCTCCGGTGGACGCGCACTCCTCCCAGCCCCCAGCCTCCCTGCACCACAGCTGCCAGGCCCCTGGGGAGATCACAGCCCCCTGTTCCCGACCCCGTGAGCCTGTGGCCACAACCACCTTCATAAACAAGCCAATGCATTTGAAGCCTCAGCCCCGCCAGTGTGTCTCACTTACGCCCACGTTAACAAAGGAGTCTCGAGAACAGACTCAAGCCCCACTCCAGATGGAAAATCACTCATGTCCGGGGTATTTCCCAGGACATTCCCCAGTCACTGGAACTTGGACGCTGGCATTCACCTCTTTAATTTTGTGCCCTGTCTACTGATACAGAACAGGGTGGAACAAATTAAAAGGGACTTGATTCCTTCCGAGCAGATGCTGTGAACGCTCCTGAGGGGACCCTCTTCACAGCAATTATAAGCCCGCTCAAGTGGCCTGTGGATGGCCTTCCCGATGAGCCGCGCGGGGCACGTGCCGGGCAGTGTCCGCACAGTGGCTCTGTGCAGAAGACACGGCAGCCGCACTGACCCCTTCTCTCTGGTCTCTCCATTCCAGATTTATTATAAAGTCACTAAGGACATCGAGCCCGGAGAGGAGCTGTTGGTCCACATAAAGGAGGGGGCCTACTCTCTGGGTGCAGTGCCACCCAGCCTGGATGGTAAGACCCCACTAAGACCGTCCGGGAGCCCACCCCACAGGAGGAGGGGGCCCAGGGCATCTCGTGTGACCAGGCCAGGAATCCCCAGGCCTCCAACACAGCACCCGCTCAGCTCTCCAGCCTGGAGGCCCCTCTCTCCTGTGAACGAGTGGCATCACACAAGTTGGGCAAGTTGGTATTGTGCTGAATTATACCTTTGTACTGTTATTTTCATTATCAGCTTTAGCCAATAATTTTTTTTGCTAGTCCTGGGGCTTGAACTCAGGGCCTGGCGTGCTGTCCCTGAGCTTCTTTTTGCTCAAGGCTAGCACTCTACCACTTGAACCACAGCACCACTTCCAGCTTTTTCTGTACATGTGGTACTGAGGAATTGACCCCAGGGCTTCATGTGTGCTAGGCGAGTGCTGTACCACTGAGCCACCTTCCCAGCCCTACCCAGTATATTTTTAATATTTTTTTTTTTAGTTTTAAAGCTAAAATCATTTTGGTGCCATGGAGACATGGACAGCCCCAGGGACCGCTCCATGATGAGACGCTTCAGTCTCGTGTGACAGAGAGGAAGGCATTGTTGCCTTTAGGAACCATGCCCATCAGAGGCTTCACACCCAAGGAAATGTGAGAGCATCTTTTCCAGTGGGAGGGCAGAGCCGGGCTTGGAGAGGTCCTCACGGACGGGAGGGAAGTCCTTAGGCCTTTCCTAACAGGGCTGTGGGTTGTCGGAGAGCACCGGCCATCAGGAGGGACAGGAAGTTTCCACACATATCCCTCCACACCCAAGTATCTCAGAGGTGATGCTTGAGAGAAAGCCAGCCTCCCACAGCCCACAGGTCAGACTCGTCTCCCACCCAGGTGAAGCAGCATCTGTCCACCTGCCGCCCCGGAGCAGTGGGTCTGGAGAGCACCATGTTGACCGTGGAGCATGGGTCTGGTGGCCTATGATGGCCTTCCTGCCTGCGTAGCTCCAGGTTCGGCCCCACCATGAGCAGAAAAGCGTTCTTCCCTTCTAGCAGTTTCTAAAACTCCAGGGATGGGAGAGGATTGGGTTTCCCTTCCCCTGCAGACACCCCACAGCTTAATGATTACCCGGAAGTTTCTCAGAGGGGCACTTCATTCCTACAAGAAGGAGTGGTCCGTTCCAGCCAGAGAGCAGGGCGCTGGATTTGGCGTGAAAGTTCCAAGACCAGACCCAGAGAACTCTGCCTCGGTTTACCCTTTCAGCCCCAGAAATAGCCCTGCAATCAAAGTCTCGCCTAATAAGACCACAGCAGTTCGTGTCCCTGAGCTGTCAGGAAGGAATAATTTCACCAGCCAGGTCCCTTCTGTTTAGTCCTCTGAAGTTTGGTTTAAATTAGGCCATTGCCAGAAGAAAAATAAATCCCCACCATCTCTAAGGAAGGTCTCACTTTCCTTAAAATAATTGTTGGAAAGACCTGTGAATCTCACAGAACACGTGAGAGCCCAGAAGATAAATCCCCTTCCCTTAAGGAGAACACTCTACTCTGGAATTCCACTTGTAGAGTGGAATTCTTTCTCCCAAAAGAATTTTTTTAAGTTGATTCCTGTTCTCCATCCACCTCCCTCCCCTGATATTAAATAACCCTGGTCTACATTTTCCTAATAATTGATCACACGTTCCTGGGCTAATTGCTTTCCACACATAATAGTCTGACACCAAATATTTGACTTTTTCTAGCATCTGCTGTCAAACTCATTTCTTTTCCCCCTTCACAGCCACCCCCCCCCCCCCCAGTTAAACTCAGAATCATACAGAAAGAAAATGCAAAAAAAAAAAGAAAAAAGTTCCTCACTAAGATAATTATCATTTTAAAAAAAAATCTTTTATCCTAGCCCGGGCTAAATGCAGCGGGCCCATATCGCTGCAGGAATTTGAAGTAGGCTCTTGAACGCTTTTGAGGCTCGAGTTGTAGATTAGCATGTGGATGGTGCATAATTGTGAACCCCTCGGTCTCAAAGCCATTAGGCACTGATTTATTTTTCTGCCTGGCCGTAGAAGTTGCTCATAGAACTTAAGCTAGATGGGTGAGGTGCGGGTTTTGACAGGCCACACAGAGGCTGCCGCTGCGCTGGTACGTGGCGGTTTGGGTGGGGGGCAGACCTCTACCCCAGTCTACAGCCCTCTCCTCATTTAGATGAAGACTTTTATTTCCAGCTGCTCTTTTTGAAGGTGTGTACGTTTATGGAGGGTAAGGGGTTTGGCTGGGGACCCTGTGCAGATGTGCAGGTGGCAAGTGGTGAGGGGCGTGGCCACGGGGAGGTGGGGGAGGGTGTGACACTGCCCCTGGGCAGGCTCTGGGGCTTTAGGCCTGCACTGGAGCTGAGCTCTGTGAGGAAATGCCAGCCCAATGCCCACACAGGTAGCCAGCCACGCTCAGATTCCTCAGGTGACTAGGGAATTGCTTTCTTTTAACTCTTGTGTTGGGGATGGGGGAGAAGTCGCTTTCATGAGAATTTATTGCTTTTGGGAGAAAATAAGAAGTCATTTGCATTCAAATATGCTTTTCTGAAAAGCTCATAATAATTTACTTCCCCTTCTAAAGAAGTCAAGATGACACAATGTATTGTATAGTGTTTATGAGAGAGAGAGAGAGAGAACATGAAGGGGTATGATAGAAAAAAATATCAGGGTATAACTTACCCTTTTAGAAATTCTTTAAAATTCCTTTGTTTTCTTAAGCTAGTACTGAGACTTAAATTTGGGGCCTTGCACTTTTGCTTGGCTTTTTTTTGTTCAGGGTTGGCACTTTACCACTTGAGCCACGCTTCCCCTTCCAGCTTTTCTCTGTATTATTGCAGATAAGAGTCTTATATTTGTCTACCCCAGGATGCCTTTGAACCCTAGTCCTCAGGTCTCAGTCTCCTGAGTGGCTAGGATTACAGGTCTGAGACACCAGCACCTGGCAATTCTTTAAACTTCTTTAAAATGAACTTTGCATGATGGGATAAAAACAAATGGCCTGCAGTGGCCCAGGTGTGGACTCGGGCCAGGAGTCCATCCATGAGACTCCCACGGGCCTGGAAGTCTGAGGCCTGTCCTGCCCCTAGCTCTGCCCCTCGCAGGGGCAGATGAGGCTAGGAGGGAAGGGTGCAGGGGAGGAGGGCAGCACTTGTCACCAGGGTGGGTCCCATTGCCCAGGGACCCTCAGAGGGCTGGATTTTCATCGTAAGCCCCCCAATTTTAATTTTAGATCCAAAGTCCACCTTACTTGGTCAGTGGTACAGATGAGCAGGGTTGAGATTTCTTCTTATAGACAGTATTTGTTGTCAGATCTCAGCTTCTAGGATTGTTCTTTGATGAGCCAGACTAGCACCATGGAAGTGGTGTTCTAAGGCCCTCAGCCCCGTCCAGCACACAGGGGAAGCTCTCTGGGGCCAGGGTGGGGCCGTGCTGGCATGTGCTTGGCATTCAGACCCACAGCTCCGTCCCTGATGAAAATCTGTAGATGGGGAAGGTTGAGAGAGGGGGCGGTGGGTGCCCCCAAACTCTCACAGGGCCCTGTGGAAGCGGGGTTCCCCACACAGCGGGAGGGCTCCAGCCCCAGGGCTCCTCCCCTCCCTCAGGCCAGCGACCGGGGTTCCCCAGCCCCAGCTGGCCAGTGAAAACGCAGAGGCAGAGCCCCCGCAGCACCCCCAGTAACCACACGCTGTCCGGCTGCAGAGCGGCTCTCTCCCGGGGACTCTGAAGTGGCACGTGGTCATTCAATCTCCCCACGTGGAAGGCAGAAAGTGGCCCCTTCTTCCCCCCACCGCCCTCACACCCTCCTGCCTCTTAGGCTCAGCCAGTGGTCAGGCCTAGTTTATTAAAGCTCTGCTCAGTGCAGATGGAGCCCTGTGCATGCATGAGCATACACACATGCACACACACACATCCATGTATGTTCACATGCACACACATTCACAGCTGGCACATTAGCAAGCAAATATAACTCCTTAACACATACAAACATGGGCATACATATCCACTCATGTGCAAGTGCACATGCAATGTCACAGATGCCTACATGGACACACACAGCACAAATCTGTGTGCCCACATTCATGCATGCAACACTCAAAACACATCAGCATTGCCTATGCACATAAACACTCGTAAAGAGCATATACAGATGCCTGCATAGCACACGGAAGTACATGAAAACTACAGGCATGAACACACAAAGATGTACAGGAATGAATACATATACCTTCACACAGGCCAACACACTTACACAATGCACACACAAACAACATATCTGTGCAAGTGTACAAATATCACATGTAATCATGTATATAACACACGTGCCCGTTTGTACGTGTGCACACGTGAGTAGATCTGTACGCACAAACCTGGGTGCAAATGCACAGGCATGCACACACATCCACACAAGGGTTTGCAGACATGGGTGCGGGTTGCTGGAATATGCACGCTCACACAAACCCAACTGCATTGCACACACAACCATGCGTGGCTAGACACTTGTGCACTAGATGCACACATACACTCACATCTATACGCATGTGCAAGTGTTTTTTCTCTGTGGGGGGGTGGGGGGCGATGGGTCATCCTGGGGTGGAGGGCGCCCCCTGCAGGCGGAGGCTGCTTTTGAGGCAGCTGCAGCAAGGGAGGTAGGAATGAGCCAAACCCCACACATACCCACATACACCCCCATACTCCCACACCCCTCACACCCCCCTGCTGAGAGCTACAGCTCCCGGCTGATTGTTTGGCTTGGCACTGTGGTCAGGATGCTGCCTCATAAACTTAATAATAGCTTGCCCCCCTTTTAATTTGTTTGACCTTGACGACAATAATTTATTATATGGTTGGAGCTCTGTCCTGGTTTTTTTTTTCTTCCTAATTCATAAACAAAGCAGTTGGCCTGGTTTTCTTCTGCACTGGAGAGGCAGGCCTTCCTTCAGCTCCCCACCCCCCCTGGCCACCTAAGATGCAAGGCGGCCCTGGCGCTGCCAGTGTTTCCTCGGGTACAGCGATCAGAGTCCCCGGCACTGCCTGCAGTCCCTGCCTGTGCCCTTGTGGCTCTGGGCAGGCATCCCTAGGTTCAGGATGGAGGCTGGAGGGAGGCAGGTGGGCCCGGGGCGGGGCCGATGGGCAGTGCTCCCAGGGCCTCCGTGGGAACACAGGCAGTACCCTGTTCATGTGCCTCTCTCTTCCTGTCCCGCAGAGGAGCCCACGTTCCGCTGCGAGGAGTGTGATGAGCTCTTCCAGTGCAAGCTAGACCTGCGGCGCCACAAGAAGTACGCATGCGGGGCAGCGGGGGCCGCGCTCTACGAGGGCTTGGGGGAGGAGCTCAAGCCGGATGGCCTCGGCGCGGGCGGCGGCGGCGGCGACGGACAAGTGCATGAATGCAAGGACTGCGAGCGGATGTTCCCCAACAAGTACAGGTGCCGCCCCTGCCCCTGCTCCGGCCCACCACCCATCAGGCCTGGACTGTGAGCGGGCCCGTGCGGAAACACACCCCAGTCCACTCGCTCAACCCTGGAGGCCCAGCAGCTGCGTGGCCAGTGCCAGAGGGTCAGAGGCCTTCAATGGCCTATCCCCAGGAAGGCAGGCCCATGCCTGGTCAGACCACCAGCTCCACTCGCCCTTAAACCCTGAGAGCCTGCGTCTCTGCTACCAGGCCAAGAGGTCAAGGGCCGCAGCGCCCACCACAGGGGGACTTGCAGGTGGCTTCCCCTTCAGGAGGCATGTGCAGCTCCTCTGGGCATCCCATGAAGCCCCCCCCCCCGCCCCCACCATGTGCACAGAGGCCACCAGGCTGGCAGAGTGACAACTAGGCACTGTAACAACTCAAGTAGGCCCAGCTGGCTCTCCCTTTCCCTGAAGGCCAGACAGGAACCAGGACCCAGAGACCGGGGCCCCAGGGGTGGGTGGGTGTCTTGAGGACCCACAGCAACCCCTGGACAAGCTAGGCAAGCTGGGATGTGTGAGGAAAGCCAGGACCTCCAGCCCCAGTGCTCTGGGAGCCAGGAAACCTTCTAGCTTGGGCGGCCCTCCCTGCGCTGGTGCGCTTCCCCTGGATTGCCTTGCGTAGCCGGAGAAGAGACCCCATCCGGCCACTTGCTAACTATGTGATTACTCGGGATTTACTGCAATCCAGACCAGGCTCCCTGGGGACTGCAGGCCCGCCACTCTAAACAGATGACTGGGGGAGTAAGTGGCCCAATCCCGACTGGGCCCATTGAACTGAGTGTGGCTAAAGAGCGCCCGTGTTTTCTTTACATAAACACATAAATCACAATTAACAACAGGGAAAAGATACAATCTCTCCACGCTGGAAAAGCAGGCGTTTCTGATCTAAATGGATGGCTGGGCCCCGTAATTAACGGGCTGTGATATATTACTGCTTCGCTCATGAAGATTAACGGTCATCCTGGGGACCGGAGGAGAGGCAGGGGTCCCCAAGGGGAAGGGATTAGAGGATGCCTGGCCAGCCAGGAGGAGCGGCCCCTCCAAGCAGCTGCTCTGCCCACCATCTGGACACCCTGGCCTCTACTCTTGGCCACCACCCTGGGTGTGCCAGGCTGCCTGGAGGGCACCCAAAGACCACCCAGAGAATGGGCTCCTGGGGCTCCTAGCCTCACCCCAACTCCTGGATCTATGGCAATGTGGATCCTGCTAGACTCCTTCTTTCTGGGCCCAGGCTTAGCCTCAAAATTGGGATGGTATAAGGCGGCAGCCAGGACACGGGCCTGCCCTGCCTTTGGCTGGTCTTGGGTGAAAGACTGAGCGTGGTCCGGCACCAGCCCCTGCATCTGACACAGAGAGTCTGTCCCTGCGCCTTATCTCTGTGGCCCACCCGGAAAGGAGATGTCCAGATGCCACCTGAGCAGGCTCTGAGCCGCAGACCATGTGCTGGAGGAAGGGGGGCCTCCTAGGGCCCAAAAAGAGAAGAGTCGTGTGGGGTGGGACAGCGTCCCCGTTGGACAGGCCCTGAGTGACCCCTGTCCCCTGCGTACAGCTTGGAGCAGCACATGATTGTCCACACAGAAGAGCGAGAGTACAAGTGTGACCAGTGTCCCAAGGCCTTCAACTGGAAGTCCAACCTCATCCGCCACCAGATGTCCCACGACAGCGGCAAGCGCTTTGAATGTGAAAACTGCGTGAAGGTACTGTGCACGGGCCGCAGAGCAAAGACCCATCCCTGCCTGCAGACCGCTCCGTCCCTCCACCCCACTGAGCAAATGCAGGTGGGTGTGGCCACGGTCCATCCGAGTGACCGGGAGGACAGGAAGTCTCAGAAAGAACCTGGGCCCGCCCCAGGGCAGTCGCTGCCCTCTGGCACGGATGGCAGAGGCGGGCAGGGGCAAGACCCCGGAGCCGAACCCTTTGAGAAACAGTGTCGCAGCCCCGGGGCTCGGCCGCCATGGTTGGTGCTCCACTGTCCCGGCTCAGGGAGGGCGGTGAGGGAGAGGGGCCAGGCCGGGCCACGGTGTCCCGGGGGCCGGTGGGGAGTCCAGGCAGGGCGTGCGCCCACGGTGCCCGTCTCCCCAGGTGTTCACGGACCCCAGCAACCTGCAGCGGCACATCCGCTCCCAGCACGTGGGCGCCCGGGCGCACGCCTGCCCCGACTGCGGCAAGACCTTCGCCACGTCCTCGGGCCTCAAGCAGCACAAGCACATCCACAGCACGGTGAAGCCTTTCATATGTGAGTTCCCTGCCCGCCCGTCCGCACCCGTCACCGCGCCAGGGGGCCGCGGGGCAGCCCCGGATGTCCAGATGGCCAGGCCCGCATGCAGGGGACCGCTGTCCGTCCAGAAGCCCTCACCGCCGTTCCTAGGAAGGCACAGCCATGTGACCCTGGGTCCTCCGGCACTCCAGACCCCCGTGTCGCTTCGCCGCCCATGGCGTCCTCTGGGCCCGTGGCGCTGTCCCTTGCCCGCTCTGCCCTCGGTCCTGTTCTGGCCCACTTCCCATGTCCTCGCAGGGGCTGGAGGACGGCGGTGGGCAAAGGCCAGCACAGTGCCCCCCTCCTTCCGTCCCCTTCGTATCCCCTGGGCTCATGCCCACCCGGATGAGCTCTAGCAGGAACTCTGTGGCAATCCCAGCTGGCCTGGCCACAGGGCCCCCTAGGGAGCCCAGTCTGTGGTCAGTGCTCTCCTGGATGAAGCGGTCCCCTCCTGGTGATGTGCACACAGGAACGGGCGGGAAGCAGCTTCTTAGGGTGGAGGGGAGGGCGGACCTCCGCCCAGGGCCAGCAGTGCAGGTGGGTAGCGCTCCTGATCCGGTGATGAGCATCTGGGCTGCACCCACAGAGCCTACAGAGGAGGCCCAGGATGGGGACCAAAGGAAAGTGGACAGGTCACCTGGCACGGGTCGCAGGGCTTGTGGGCCACCTGGGTCTTGGTGAGTTCCGAGGACCCTGCGGGCTCCCGGGTGCTGAGCGTGTGCTGCAGGATGGCTTCACGCACACCCTGTGCGGAGTCTGGCACAGGCCTCCTGCGGAGCAGCCTGGTCCACTCTCCATCCTGTCACCACCTGCCTGGGATAAACGCCCGCAAGAGGCAAGGTTCGTTTCTGCGCAGTTTCAGTCAGTGGTCGCGTGGTCCTGCGATGAGGCAGGGCCTTGTGCAGAAGAGGCTGCTCAGGGAGCAGAGGGGTGGGGGAAAGAGCCCTGAGCCCCCAGATCACCTTCAAGAGTAGATCCGATGGCCTAGCTTCCTCCTAAGGCCTGAGGGCAGGAAGGAACATCACTGGTGTGGCTTGAGTGACCCCAGGGGCGGGCCAGCCCACTTACCCTACAGGCTGGCTGGGTGAGGGCGTATTTATAGAGGATCTGTGGGGTGAGGCCTCTCCTCTCTCTGAGGAGTCTCCCCAAAGGGAAGAGTTGATTACATGAGACAAAGTTCATCTCCTTCAGCCAGAAAAACACCCTGCCAGGCCACACCACCAGACAGGCAGCACAGTCAATCTAACTAGATACCACGATCAAAGAATGTAGCCGTCTCAGAGAAAAAGAGGTGCACAGAAGCAGGCAGCCAAGGATCTGTGGAGAGCAAGACGCTCGCGTGCATTTATTTGTCGTTTCTACCAGGGTTGTATGTAGGGGCAATTCGTCCTGCAGAGAGACACACTCTGGGTGTGCTTGAACACATTTCTTGGTGAAAAAAAAAGCAAGAGAAAAGAGGGCAAACTCTCCAGTCCTCCCGCCTCAGGAAAATGGCCAGCTGGGGTCCCTGAGCATGTGGAGCCAGGCTGGGCTCTGTCTGCATCTGACCCGCTTGGGGTCATCAGCCAGTGTGGTGGTGTTGACCAGCCAGAGCAGCCACTGCCCTCCCGCCCCGCCCATACTGTCTCAGACTCGCCTCCCGAGCCAAGCCTCTGCCACCCCAAACGGCCACACGCTGCCAGGAGCCATGCTCCCCAACCTAGACCCGGCTCTGGAGCTCCTAAAACCCCAGGAGCAGGCCGAACCACCTCCAAGCCCCGAAGCCGGGCCCGATTCCACAGCCGGCGTCTTCCTTCCACGGCAGTGCTGAGGGAGGCTGGGCGGAGGTATTGAGCCCAGTGCTTCTGAGCAGCGGATGGCAGAGACACAGTGCATCCTCGCTCAGCCCTGGTCCGGCCCGGAGAGCAGGCTCGCATTCCCAGTGGTTTCTGAAGAGTGGGGGTCTGGCATTGCTCCCCTCAATTCACACTTCAGAGTGCTGAGGTGCAGATGGACGATTCTCCTGCCCTGGGGAGCCTGGGAAAGGGCCTGGCGGAGGCTTTGCCACTTCAGGCCGTTCACTGGTGGGGTACCTGTACACACACAAGCACACATTTGTGTATGCACGCATCCTCATGTGCATACATGTGTGTGCCTCCAATCTACTCTGCAGAGTGCACAGACATACACGGACACAGGGGTGGCTGGGTGCTGTGTACACACGCGTGTGCAGCGCACCCCCCCACGCAGGCGCCCACCTGGACCCCAGGCCCCTCAAGGCCCAGGCTTTCCCGGTAATTTCATACCGTGTTTGTCTTTGCTTTCTGCTGATGCTTTAGGTGAGGTCTGCCACAAGTCCTACACGCAGTTCTCCAACCTGTGCCGGCACAAGCGGATGCACGCCGACTGCCGCACGCAGATCAAGTGCAAGGACTGCGGGCAGATGTTCAGCACTACCTCCTCCCTCAACAAGCACCGGCGCTTCTGCGAGGGTAAAAACCATTACACGCCGGGGGGCATCTTCGCCCCGGGCCTGCCCCTGACACCCAGCCCGGTGATGGACAAGGCAAAGCCCTCCCCCAATCTCAACCACGGGGGCCTGGGCTTCACCGAGTTCTTCCCGTCCAGGCCGCACCCGGGGAGCCTGCCCTTCTCGGCGGCCCCTCCGGCCTTCCCCACGCTCACCCCCGGCTTCCCGGGCATCTTCCCGCCGTCCTTGTACCCCCGGCCGCCTCTGCTACCTCCCACGCCGCTGCTCAAGAGCCCCCTGAGCCACACCCAGGACGCCAAGCTCCCCAGCCCCCTGGGGAACCCGGTGCTGCCCCTCGTCTCGGCCGTCAACAACGGCAGCCAGGGCCTGGCGGCCACCGCGGGCTCAGAGGAGAAGTTTGAGGGCCGCCTGGAGGACGGGTACGTGGAGAAGGCGAAGGCCAGGAGCCCGGACATGTCCGACGGCAGCGACTTCGAGGACATCAACACCACGACGGGAACCGACCTAGACACCACCACCGGCACCGGCTCCGACCTGGACAGCGACGCCGACAGTGACCGCGACAAGGTCAAAGACAAGGGCAAGCCGGCCCAGGGCAAGGCTGAGTTTGGGGGCGGCTCGGCGCCCCCGGGGGCCGTGAACAGCGTGGCAGAGGTGCCCGTCTTCTACTCCCAGCACTCTTTCTTCCCCCCGCCCGAGGAGCAGCTGCTGACCGCCTCGGGCGCCGCGGGCGACTCCATCAAAGCCATCGCATCCATCGCCGAGAAGTACTTCGGGCCCGGCTTCATGGGCATGCAGGAGAAGAAGATGGGCTCGCTGCCCTACCACTCTGTGTTCCCCTTCCAGTTCCTGCCCAACTTCCCCCACTCCCTGTACCCCTTCACGGACCGAGCCCTCACCCACAGCCTGCTGGTCAAGGCCGAGCCAAAGTCGCCCCGGGACGCCCTCAAGTTGGGCGGCCCCAGCACCGAGTGCCCTTTCGACCTCACCACCAAACCAAAAGAGGCGAAGCCCGTCCTGCCAGGGCCCAAGGCGCCCTCCGTGCCCACGTCCGGGGAGGAGCAGCCGCTGGACCTGAGCATCGGCAGCCGGGCGCGGGCCAGCCTGAACGGAGGCAGCCGGGAGCCCCGGAAGAACCACATCTACGGCGAGCGGAAGCTGGGGCCCGGCGAGGGGCTCCCCAAGGTGTGCCCGGCACAGCTGCCCCAGCAGCCCTCCCTGCACTACGCCAAGCCCTCGCCCTTCTTCATGGACCCCATCTACAGGTATTCTCATGTCCCGCCCTCACCGGCTCCCGCCCGGCCGCTGGGCCCACCGTGCTGTGAGCTGGGCGGGGGCGGTGCGGGCCTGGTGGAAAGGAGGACCTATCTGTCTGTCCATCCATCTGTCCATCTGTCTGTCTGTCTCTCTGTTAACGTCAAGGCCCTTCCCTCCATCCTTGCTAGATTCCCGAAGGTGGGGGACATCTGGCATGGTGGTTTCAGCGGAGGGAAGGAGGGGGTCTTCTGGACAGCTGAGCTGCCGAGACCGCAGCTTAGACCCTCCACCCTGCCTCGGCTCCTCCTGAGATCCTCCCTTCACACCCCTCCTGGTGTCTAGCTGTTTTCTGGACCAAATCTCCACCTCCCACAAACGCCAGGGTCCTCATCTGCCTCTGAGCCCTTCTTCCACCTTTCTTTTTTTTTCTTTTTAAGTCGGTCGTGGGGCCTGAACTCTGGGCCTGGGCGCTGTCCCTCAGCTCCTCAGCTCAAGGCGAGCCCTCTACCACGTGAGCACAGCGCTACTTCTCATTTTCTGTAATACTTTTATTGGAGCTAAGAGTATTACAGACCTTTTTCCCCAGTCTGGCCTTGAACTGCGATCCTCAGACCTCAGCCTCCTGAATAGCTAGGATTACAGAAGTGAGCCACCGGGGCCTAGCTTTCTCCCATCTTTCTGTGGCCCCACCCCTACCCCAGGAGCTACATTGGCATGGGTGGACTAGGAGAAATCAGAGAGGGGTTGTGGGTCCCTGGAGAGGAGGATAGAGGAAGAAGAGAAGGAGGAGGAGGAGGAGGAGTGAGAGGTAGGGAGGATGTGTGAAACATCAGGACCTTGGTGGATGGACTGAATCCCGCTCCAGATTTATAGCAAGGCATTGAGCCCCCCGAGAGGCAGGGGGCTGAGCGCGCAGGGCCGTGTCCGTGGGAGGCAGCCTCTCCGGGGAGGACAGAGGGCTGTGTTCAGCATCCACCCTTCTCGGGGTGTGAGGGCCTGCGTGCACCCAGCTATGTGTACCTGCCTCACTATGCCTGGAGCAGGCTCTGGAAAGCCCCCAGGGGCCGGGCCCCATCTCTGAGGGGCAAAGAGGACTCACTCAGCTGCTGTGCCTTAGGATGGCAGAAGATAAAGAGGAGAGGAAATGCTGGTGGAGCAGGGCAGGCCGCTAGCTGCCGCCCAATGCCAAGACACCCTGGATGGCGTGGACCCCGCGCCCCCCCCCTTTCCCGCGGGTCCTTCTGCACCCGTCAGGATGCAGGCCTCTGGTGACCAAGTAGGAACCAGGGTACAAAGCGCACGTCCACTGCAGTCAGTGGGGGGCACTGGCCTTGGTCGGAGGGGGGGCACAAGGTTAGGGAGAGGCAGGCAGCGAAGCCGAGCTGGAGCTGGGGTGGGATGTCATCCTGTGGGGGTTGCTGGGTCTCCCTGCTGCCCCCTCCCTGGCCTGGCCTGCTCTGCCCTGGAGGCCTGGGAAAAGCGGCGTCCGAGCTGGGGTGGGTGAGCGGACACACGTAGGACTCCAGTGAGCACTCGAGATGCGGCTTGTTCTGAGTATCTGCAGGGAGGTGGCAGGACGGGGGCTCAGGGATTCAGCCCCGCCCCCTGCATCCGCCCACCCCAGGGCCTGAGGCGGAGGCAGAGGGTGAAGCAGAGGAGGGTCGGTGGGCAATGCCTCTCCTCTACCTCCACTCACCGGCAAAGTTCATCTCATGAAGTTGTCCCTGGTCCTCCGGGAAGATTCTTGAAGTGCAATTTCTGGTGGCATGGAGGAAGAGACCCCCTGACTGCTACAGGGGGTCCCTCGTGAAGCACACCAATCATTCACATTTATCAACAAAGACGAGCCAGGCACCCGTGGCTCACACCTGTCATCCTAGCTACTCAGGAGGCTGAGATCTGAGGATCGAGGTTCAAAGCCAGTGCAGGCAGGACTCTTATCGCCAAGGAACCACCAGAAAACCGGAAGTGGTGCAGTGGCTTCAGCCTTGAGCTGAAGTGCCAAGAGACAGCGCCCAGGCCCAGAGTTCAAGCCCCAGGACTGACGGGAAAACACACACACACACACACACACACACACACACACACACACACACACACACACACACACACAGAGGCAGGCAGAGATCCCCAAGACCAGGACAAGGTGAGACAGGAAAGTCGGGATATAGTCATTAAGCATCCAGAATGTTCCACACAGAGCCTGTGGATAAGCCAGGGACCCCACAGGCTCTCCCCCCACCTCATCCCGCCCCCCCAAGGCTGACCAGCCCACGAAGTTGCTGCCCATGGGATCTTCAGAGAATGTTCTAGATTCTAGCCCTGAGCATTTTGTGACAGGCATGGGGGCTGACAACTGTTGCAGGGGCACGGGGGGGGGGGGGGGCCTTGAATGTGTGCAGTGAGGGAGTGGAGCGGGGGTGGGGCTGGCAGCCCAGGCCAGCCCCACGGCCCGCGAGGACTCGGGCGGCAGGAGGCAGGGCAGCCGTGGGCGCCCCTGAGCTGGCCAGGGGCCTGCCCTGGACGGACGGGTGGCCGGGAGGTTCGGCAGGTACGTAACCCTCTGTGTTGCCGTCCAGCAGGGTAGAAAAGCGGAAGGTGGCGGACCCCATGGGAGTGCTCAAGGAGAAGTACCTGCGGCCCTCGCCGCTTCTTTTCCACCCGCAGGTAAGAACCAGGCGTGCGCCGGGCAGCCTGTGTCTGGGGGCCCCACCGGGCCGTCTCCCGGCCTCGGCGTCTGTCACCCTTCCCGGTGGGACTCCACACCTCGCTACAAGGCCAGAGAGGCCGGGGAAGGAGGAATCCCCGCGGGATTCCCCTCCAGGGGCCTCCTGGGCTGGGCACCATGCCCAAGGGGGTATATGCGCTCTAGGGCCCAAGAGGGAATGGCCTCCACTCAGCCACGGGCAGGCAGAGCTGGGGTGGAGCCCAGAATCTTGAACACTGGGAACAGACCCCACCCAACCAAGACAACACCAGTTCGCAACTGGTCTTCCTGGGTGTGTAGCCCTTGAGAATGTTTAAATCAAGAGAAAGAAGATGCTGAGCGCTGGTGGCTCACACCTGTCATCCTAGCTACTCAGGAGGCTGAGATCTGAGGATCACGGTTCAAAGCCAGCCCAGGCGGCAAAGTCCATGAGATTCTTATCACCAATGAACCACCAGAAAACCAGAAGTGGCGCTGTGGCTCAAGTGGTAGAGCACTCGCCTTGAGCTGAAGAGCTAAGGGACAGCACCCAGGTCCAGAATTCAAGCCCCATGACCAACCAAAGCGAGTGAGCGAGAGCGAGAGAGAGAGAGAGAGAGAGAGAGGATGAGCCAACATGGAGAAGGCAGGGGTAGGGGCAGGATAGGCAGGGGTAAAAAGGAAGGCTAGGCCACTCAAAGGGAGCTTGGTGGAACGGGAAAGGTCCCCTCCTAGGTGTGGGTTCCAGACCTGGCCAGCTGACAGCGACCCCAGCCTATTGCCCGGGCTGCGTGCTCTGGGGGCTGGGCACAGGGCAGGGCAGTCTGACAGGTGTCCTGTGTGCTATGCCCAGCTCTCCACAGAGCCGCCAGCTTCTGGCCCTGCGTCCCCCTCACCCACCCACCAGCCCACACCACCCATTGTTCTCCTGGACGCTTCCCGGCTCCACGAACCCTGGTCCGTGAAACCTGGGCCCTGGCTGAGTTCACAGCTAAACTTAGTGCCTCCCATTGTCCCGCTGGGCCTCAAGTTTGGTTAATAACTTCCCCTGATTTTCCTTGGATGGGCTGGAAAAAGCCGCCAGGCCCGCCAGGCGCATCCTGTGTTTGTGTTTGTGTGGGGAGGCCGCAGGAATATCTGATCGGGCAGAGCAGGCCAGCCAGGCCGGACCCACCCAGGCCGAGGAAGAGAGGCTTGGCCGGTGGGGGGCCGGCTGCCCATTGTCTCTCCTGCCTACTCCTCCCATGGTCCTGCCACCCCTATGGCTGCCCCTGTGGCTGAGGGCCAGGAGGAAGGGGCAGGGGAGCCATGACTAATAGGTCACCAAATTCAACGGTCCAGGGTTGGGCTTGTACTCGGGCAGAATGCTCCTGATGACTACGGGGCTCTCGAAAGCCCAGAGGTCACTACTGTACTGTGAAGAGGCCTGGGCCTGGGCCAGCGGGTGCCCATCCTCTGACCCTTCGGCCCTTGAGCCTCACATGCAGGCGTGCGGTCCTCTGGGTGCAGGATGGGGCAGGCCAGAGGTCTGCCAGGGCCCAGACCTCATTAATCCCGGGGGCCAGGGGAATCTCGTGTTCTAGGCTAGTGCACAGGCCCACAGGCAGGTGAGCCGCAGTCAGTCTCTGAGCCTGGAGCCCCAGTTCCACACTGGGAGCCCATCTGGGCTGGACAGTGGCCAAGAGAGCAAGTGGCTTCCGTTGGTCTGCCAGCGGGGATGGTTAGCGCCTGTGTGCCATGGGGCCGCACTGGTGGGGTGGAACCCAGATCCCACCAGCCTGAGCTGGGCAGGGGAGGGGCAGCAGCCAGGGTTTGGGGCGGGCCGGGGGAGGGGCTTTGCCATGGTGCCTAAGTACAACTTGGGCTCAGCAAATGCTTTCAGGTGTTTTCATTGCACCCCGTTGTCTCCAAATAACAAATATATTTGCCATTAGAGCAAAGCCCCATCCCCTGCCAGCAGCGTCCCTTAGACAGCCATGTCCTAAGTCAGTCCCAGATGGACGTACTGTGCACTCTGAGAAAGGCCGAGGCCTCCGTGGCTAGGGCTGGCTAGCTGGGACCCTGTGGCTTTTTCCACCTGTGGGCAGCCGGAGCCCATGTTCCACCATGAATTAACAAGCTCCTGGTGTGAGGGCTGGTACTAATCACTCCCAGAGCCCTGGGCTCCAAGGGCCACCAGAGGGCCACAGGTGGACACTCTCCGCCGTAAAGAATGGAGATGGCCCCGAGGGTAGCTGTCCACGCCCTGAAGACAGAATCGCCCTCTGACCTTTGACCCCCGCCCTCTCTCGTGCTAGATGTCAGCCATCGAAACCATGACGGAAAAGCTCGAGAGCTTCGCCGCCATGAAAGCCGACTCGGGCAGCTCCCTGCAGCCCCTGCCCCACCACGCCTTCAACTTCCGGTCCCCACCCCCGACGCTCTCAGACCCCATCCTCAGGAAGGGCAAGGAGCGGTACACGTGCAGGTGAGGACCTGCACGCCCCTGGGGTGTTGGCCGGGAGGGCCCGCAGCGCTTCGGAGTTAGGCTTCCGAAAGCTTCCTGGCCGTGACCTCAGCACCGGTCTGAGGTCCCCCGGGCTATGCCCCTGAACCCCCCACCTAGCTGGGTTCAAATGAGCCCTAGACGCAGCCTCAGCCCAGCCCGGAATCCAGCTGGGCTTTGGGTCAGTGCTTACCGTATTTCTTCAGGAGACTATGAACCCAACCCCATAGCTTCTGCCATTGGCCATGGTGCTAAGAGGACACTTCCTGTCCTGTCTGAGCTGGTCCCAGCCTGCCCCGGGACTGCAGCTCTGATGCCCCTAGCGCAGGCCTGGACCATCTACAAGGTTCCTTCCCCTCCCCCCACCCCCCCACCCCCCGCTGAGCCTCTCTCGAAGTCTGGGGCTGGGATCAGGGCCAAGAGACACTGACACACTGACAACCCACACGCTGGGGTGAGTCCTTCCCCAGGACGAGTCTCTGCGTGGGGTGCTGGCCGGGGAGCACACTGGGAGAGGACTGTGGGTCACCTAAACCCTAAAAACTCCCTCCTTGCTAGGTACTGTGGCAAGATCTTCCCCCGATCAGCAAATCTCACAAGGCACCTGCGGACGCACACCGGGGAGCAGCCATACAGGTACGGCCAGCCTGGCTGGGGGCGGGGTTGCCAGGCTTCAGCCGGGGCTGGGATTCAGCTTCACACTCTGATTCTGACACCCCACGGACTGTGGCCCCCAGAGGGTCAGTGAAAGGAGTCAGTGCTCTCCTGGAGGGACTCGGGACCTCTCCCTCCTGATCCCACCACTGCCTACCTTCTGGAATGTTGTAGAAGCACTGTCTTGGAAGCTTCTAGAAGGCTCCTAAAATGCTCACAGAAGAGGAGGGGAGCAACTTTCCCCCTGCCACCAGGTGTCATCAGAGGCAGGTTCTACCTGAAGGCAGGCCCCAAAGGGAGCTGGAGCGCTCTGGAGAGCCTCCACCTCTCCAGCCCCCGCCTGACGTGGCTCTCCTCACAGGGACCGTGGATGGGCGCAGGAATGATCAGCAGCTGTGGGTTTCCATCCCTGCCTTAGCAAGTCATGGGGAGTTTGCTCAGGGCGCCAGGGGGAGCCAAGCATCTGTTACCACCATACTCCTTTCTCAGAGGAGCTGCATAGCATCTCAGCATGTGTGTGCCATTGAACTTGGGGTTCCCAGTAGCCTTCCAGTGAGTCTGGACATCTCCACCCCAAAGATGAGGCTCCTGAGCTCAGAGATTCCCGTGCGTCACTGCCCCCTTCCCCTGCAGCCCAGCCCGGGTCCCTGTCCGATTTGTGTCCGGGTTCTCTACGGGACAGGAGAGGGCCACCGGTGAGGGCCTGACTTCCCGAGGCTGCCAGGCACCCACCCAGGGAGTGAGCTTTTCAAATAGCTCAGGCGATTGTCGCCCCAATGCAGCAGGGAGCGACCGTGTCTCTGCCAGGACCAGTTTAGTAACACCTTCTGGGGTGTGCCTGATCTTCCGAGGCTTTGGAGACAGGGTTTGGCTTGATTTCACGTTGAAATTAGATTTCTGTACTGTGTCCGTGCAGAGCTGGCATCGCTAGGGAATGACCGCATGAGGATACAGGCCCTGGAAATTCCATCTGTGACCGTCCCCGGGGAGGGAGGCGGTCCCCAAACCCCATTCAGGTAAACAGCACATACACCACCGCAAAGGGCCGCGACAGTGACAGATCCTCCGGCTCCCAGCCTTCCCGTTCCACACACAGCCCCCACCCCCTTGCCCGCCTTCCAAAAATAGTGACTTACAACTTAACAAAGGCTAGCAACACAAAGATTTATTTGGTCTGGTCCCCTCCCAGAAAACAAGCCGTGTGTTTTTTCTGTAATGAGAGCCGACTTCCGGACAGTGTGGCATGCGAAGAGCCCCCAGAGGGGCCAGCCGTGTTTATAGAAGAATTTAATTATCATTGATTTCTT